AGTTTTTGTATATGGCGTTGTTCCCCTTCTAGTCTTGAGGCCTCACCCCAGAGGTCTGGACCCTTCCCCCGGGACCGGTTCTTCCTCCCGAGTCGTTCTTGGATGGCCCCGAGGCCCATGATGGGCCCCCCCTCGGAGGCCGAACATCGGGCGCCAGACCTGCCGCCGTGCTGGGCTCACACCGCGAGGAGGCTTGGGCTCGGCATCGCTCGGACGTGTGCATTGTTCCGTCGGCGAGGACCATCTAGGAGCATCCTTGATCATTTGGCGAAAAAACCACGCACGAAACCGAAAAAAAGCACACGGAATGGACGTCCGAGCGGTGGCGAGGGGAGGCCCTGCCGGGAGCCCTCGGGGCCCTGCTGTGGGCTCCCCTATCGGTTGCTCCTCGGGGCGCAGGGCAGGCCCGCGGCGGCCCCGTGGGGGGGGGGGGGGGCGAGGCCCGGCGCGGCCCGGCCTCCGCGGGGAGGCGCGGGCTCCGCGGGCCCGGGCACGCTGGGAGCGTGATGACTAGGGGGGGGTGGATCTCATGGCGGGGGCCATGATTGTTCCCGAGACTTCAGGGCGCCCCTTCTTATTTCTTTACGTCCCTGGCCCCCCCGCTGGGCCGCGCACATGCCGCCGGTCATGATTTGCACGCCCCCCTCTTGGACACCCCCCTCTTGGCCGCTCCCGAGAATGTCGGGGCTCCAGTCTCGGGCCGCGGGTGAGAGGGGCATGGGCGGATTGGGGAAGCCCCGGAGCAGCGGGGTGGCCCCGGAGGTGCGGCGTTGTGAGGATCATCGATGAGCAGCGGGGTAGCCCCGGAGGTGCGGCCCCGGAGGTGCGGCCCTCTGTCGGGCCGGGCGAAAAAGGGGGGGATTGGGAAAGGAGGGGGTACGGAATTCGCTGCATGCAGCTGGTTTCGGCCTCACCGAGGGGCCCATTCCTCGATGCACAGCTGCCTCCGGCCCCCCTTTGCTATCCCCCCCGTTCGCCCGACCCGATCAAGAGACGGGGGGTCAATGCCAACGGGGGTCAGCCAGAGTTCCAGATCTTGCAGGATCCTGCAGGGCCAGGGTCGCCCTGACCCGGGCTTGGGTGCAGGATCCCGCAGGATCCTGCAGGATCTTTCGCTTTGGCCCGGGCTTGGGTGCAGGATCTTAGCAGGATTTTACAGGATCCTGCAAGGCTTGACTGACCCGGGTCTGGAGTGACCCGGGTCAGAAGATCCCCGATGAGGAGCGCGGGCAAGATTCCAATCCATGTCGAGGGGAACGAAAAACGGCATAAACATACAAAAACTCTGATGTCCGCACGGATTTCTTAGATCCGCGCGGGACCCCCCTCCCTGGCGCGCGGAGCGCGCCAGGGGCGGCGCCGGAGGCGCCGCCAGAGGGACCCAGCGCCGATGCGAGAAGTCCGCGCGGACCTCCGAGTTGTTATGGTTGTACCATTGCTCGTTCCCCCAATTTCAGTGCGTTTTGCACTTTGTTGGAAGGGGCGCCACAAGGCCGAGGCGCACCAGATATGGATAAACATCGAGCCTCTACGGGGCAAATGATATGTATCCATATCCAGTGCGCCTCGGGTTTCTGGGAAAGGGAGTCCGAAGCTCCGTATTGCAGTGGATATGGAAAGTAGTGTTGCCCGCAAAGAGGCGAGGCGCAGCTCAACATGTAACTCGAGTTCGCAGCCCCGGCAAGCGGGGTTCGGCGGATTCTTCTGGTACGCTTATGTCTCGCTTTCACTCTTCCTCGTCCCTGCCCGCACCGTTTTCCTTTATAAGATGCTTCCTATCGTGCTTCACCTTCAATTCGTGTCCTGTTCGTGTCGTCCAACCTCTCGTCCTTCTCATCCTCGTCCTTCACGTCCTTTCGGCAATGCTGGAGGCCATTCTCTTGTAGGTCTTTTGGGCGCCGCGTGGGGCCTCTCACGGTGGGAGTCGTGGGAGCCATCTTGGAGGGAAAGGCTCCAGAGACTCATCCGCTTTCCCCGTCTTGGGCCTCTCCTGGTGCTTCTGGAGGCCTCCTGGGCCGTCCTGGGGCCTCCTGGGCCGATCTGGGGGCCCTCTTGCGGGCCGTCCTGTGGGGGCGTCCTGGGGGGTCTCTTGGGCCCGCCTTGGGGCCGCCTCGGGGCCCACTTGCACCGTCTTGGTGACCTTGGAGCTGCTTTGCACACTGTGAAGCTCCTCCTCCTCCTCCTCCTCCTTCTCCTCCTCCTCCTCCTTCTCCTCCTCCTCCTCCTCCTCCATCCTCCCTCCCCTCCTCCTCCTCTCCTCATCCTCCTCACCGCATCCTCCTCCTCCTCCTCTCCTCCTCCTTCCTCCTCCTCCTCCTTCTCCTCCTCCTCCTCCTCCTCCTCTCCTCCCCAAAAAGCACGGCCGCCTCCAGCAGGGCTCCTCAGAGAGTTTGCTCTACCCCCTCTGGACCACAGCGCGCGTTCTGCCCCCCCTAGCCTCCCCACCATAACGTAACGGTCCCCCCCCTGAGTGCGTCCCTAGCCTTGGCATCGCTCGGACGTGTGCATTATTTCCTTCGGCGGGGACCGTCGAGTAGCATCCTTGATCATTTGGCGAAAACAACACGCACGAAACCGAACAAAAACACAGGGAATGGACGTCCGAGCGATGGCCAGTAGCACTGCCGCAGTGCATCTGGCACTTCATTCTGGAGGGGGGCGCTACGTTAAGCCCCCCCGTCCCCCCCCCTTCCCCGATCTCACTCGATCGATCCCACTATCGACCTCACAGGATCGATCACGCTCGATCGATCTCACCATAGAGATCTCACTGTAGATCTCGGAAGCGATCTCACTAGCGATCTCGCAGTCGATCAGTGTCGCAATCAGCTTCACTGTCGATCTCACTTTTGATTTCACCATCCATCCCGTTCCAGCGATCTCATTATCGTTGTCACTGTCGACTCCACTGTCGACACCACGGCGGGACACCCCGGGCCACCGCCCGCCCACCGCCGACGGACCACTGACGGGACACTGACGGGGCACCGCAGGACACCACGGCCGGACATCCCAGGCCACCGCGCGCCCACCTGGGGCGGCGGGGCTGTCCATGGCATCCGAATCGCCCTGGCGACGGCGGGGTCATTCCTTGTGTGCGACCACGCAGCTTCGCCTGGCCCGCACGCACGACACGAGCACGAGACCGAAAGTGTAGTCAGGGCCCTGTGTTTCCAAGCAGCGTTTTGGGAGCCAGGGTGCCGGAGGAGGAGGAGGGGGAGGAGGAGGAGGAGGAGGAGCAGGAGGAAGAGGAGCAGGAGGAGGAAGAGGAGGAAGAGGATCACCAAACTCGATATAGCCTCAACGAGAGCCTATATGTTGGAATGGGGCGACGTGGCTCTTAGCAAGCGCAGGTGGAGGGGGGATGAGTGGGAGGGGGGGAGAACAAACAGAGTCGGATGACAATTAGGAGGTGAGGAGGATGATAATAGGAAGGAGGGGACAGAGGATAACGACAACAATGACGATTGTTGAATGGCGCGAGGAATAGGATGGTGGTGGTAATGATCATGGCATGGATGATGATGAGGAGGAGCAGAAGGAGAAGGATGCTGACGATGTTCATGATTGTGATGGTGGTGATGATGATGAGGAGCGGGAAGGGAGGAGCATGGATTTCAACAGGTATTACCAATAAGGAACAGGGAGCAGGAGGAGGAGCAGGAGGAGGAGGAGGAGCAGGAAGGGAGGAGGAGGACGACGAGCAGGAAGGGAGGAGGAGAATAAGGAGGAGGAAGAGGAGGAAGAGGGAGGAGGAGACGAGGTCTGTGGAAGAACGGTGACGGAGGGAGGAAGGGACTCAGTGAGGGAGGAAGGTAAGGGGTGGAGGGCAGGAGGGCGGGAGCAGGGAGGGAGGACGTTTCGTGGAGGGTACCCTCATGTTCTTCGTGTTTGTTGGATGTCCTCGTGCATCCTGGGGAGGGTACCCTTGCATGTTGTGTGTGTGTGTGTGTGTGTGTGTGCCTTGGCCGGCCCAGGGTCTCGGGTTGTTGAGGGATGCTCTCTTGGCCTAGGTCCGAGTGCCATGCAAGAAACGGGCATGACAGATCGGGCGGTGACCTGGAACGGAACGGATTGGACAGTTGCGGGGAAGCGCAGACGGGGGGAGAGGAGAGGAGAGTATCTCTTGGCATCGCTCGGACGTGTGCATTGTTCTTTCGGCGAGGACCATCGAGGAACATCCTTGATCATTTGGCGAAAAACCACGCACGAAACTAGAAAAAAACACAGGGAATGAACGTCCGAGCGATGGCCAGACCTGCTCCTCCTCATCACCTCTTCCCTTCCGCCTCCCCCCTTCCCTCCCTGCTTCCCCTCGTCGCCAGCCCGCCGTCCCGCCGTCCCTCCTCCGCCTCCTTCGCCTCTCGCTCCTTCCTCCATCCCTCCTCCCCCCTCGACTCGTGACTGTCGCCTCCATCGCCCCCTGCTGCCGCCCCCACCGCCGCCGTCGCCACCGCGTCTGCCGCCGTGGCTGCCACCTCCGGCGCCGAGGTCGTGGCCGGACACCGTCGCCGCCGCCGCGGCGGCCGCCGCCGTTTCCGCCGCTGCTGGGGCCGCCACCGTCACCGTGGCCGGCGCCGTCGCCGCCGCGGCGGCCGCCGTTATCGTCGTCGTCGCCGCCGCCGCCCGAGCATTTTCTTCAGGATGAGGGCAAAGGGCGAAATCTGAAATGCCGCTCCGATGGATGCCCGAGGCTCGACTCTGCAGAAGGTGCGTCACGAGACGGACTGATCCTCGAGGTGCCAAGCCTGTGTGGGTTTCACCCCGAGCCCTCCGCCCTTAGCCCAGCCTGATCGAGCCCGAGCCCTCCATCCTTCACCCCCCACCCGAGCCCGAGCCCTCAGCCCCTAGCCCAGCCCGAGCCCTCCACCCTTCACCCCCCACCCGAGCCTGAGCCCGAGCCATCCTCGAGGTTCACCCCAAGCCCATGTGTGTTTCACCCCGAGCCCTCCACCCTTAGAGACGATGCTCGGACCGCCGCTCCCGATCCACCGCGCCAGTGCCGGCCAGCGGCCTGCCGCGGCGCCGGCGGCAAGATCAGCCTCGCCTCCGTGCGCCAGCGGCTCGCGCCGTCCGAGGCCTCCCCCCGGGTGGCGGGCCCTGGCCGCCGCCGCTGGCGCTGTCGGCGTCGGCGTCGGCGTCGACGTCGGCGTCGTCGTCCAAGCAGGCCTGGCTCGCCTAATTATAGGCCTACCAAAGAATGTTCTGAGAACCTTGTGTGATTTGCACGAACTGTTCTCACAGCATTCCTGTCTGGGACCGTCTTGTTTCGACGCATCGGTTTTTTGTTCTAAGAGCATTGTTTTTGTTCTTAGAACAGTTCTGGGTTTTAAGAGAATTTCGTGGTAGGCCTATAGAAACGCCAGGACGGTCGGTCCCTGCTCAAGTCGTGGAGGGGGAGGCTTGAGATTCGGGCGATGCTCCTTTTTCACCACGGGCGATTTTGGTTCGTGGGTCCTGGAACTTTCTCCTATCGGGCTAGTTCGGAACATGGCACAGGAAGAGGGGATCGGGGTTCCGGTCGTGATTGTTCACGATGTTGTTTTTCCCCACCTGAGAGGTTGGGGTTCTTAGATTTCAAGAAAAGACCTCCTGGTCCGCCCACCTTGCATACCGCGGCCGCCAGATCCCCCCCCGGGGTCCACCGAGAATCCCCGAGAACCCCGCCTCCTCCCCTCGACCTACACGACAGAACCTGACACAACTGAGCATATCACCACGCATCATAACATGGCGTAACACAACATGACACGCCTGAGCATAACCCATCAGCACATAACATACCATTGCAGATCATGATTGATCACATGAGCGCGGCATACTTGTGCACACAATATATCATATCATGTCGTGGTAATCCCACCTAACATATCACAACACACCGTGCTATAATACAGCAAACCATGGCACATCATGACGACGCATGCAACGACCGATCAGGCCATGCATAGCCTAGCATAACATCACACACCATAACAAATCGCCACTGAGCATACCATAACATAGCACACCGATCATTCCAGATCCAGACAACGCATACCAGGACAGTGCGCGTTATCATATTTGATAAAAGTAGCAAGACACACCATTTCATAGATCCATAGTAGAATAGGCACCACATAACATGCCATGACAGAAAAGGTAATGACTTTGCTTCGAGCGCTCTCCCCTGAAACTTCCGCTGTTGTCCCCGACGGTGCGCGCGCCTCTGCCTTAAGTGTTGACGACCCCAGAGCCTCGGTCGAACAAAACCGAAACGAGCTTTCGGGCGAAACACCAATCACCAAAACACGAGGTGCGAGACCCCAGACTCCGTTCGAAGAGAATCTTCAGCCTGTATGGTGTGTTCTGATCAGTCGGGATCTTCCTGATGATAACTGTTTGGCTGTATACAGCAGTATTCACGTACGTGCCGTGTGGTACCGTTCTATTATGTTATGCTCTGTTATGTCCTGCTCTGTTTTCCAATGGCCGGCGTGACGTCGTTGTGCCTATCACGTTGGATATTCCGTCTAATCGGTCGTTGTTGCGCCTGCTGGTTCCCGTCGCCAGCCTGACCTGGTCGCGCACGTCGCGGGGAAGTATAAGGTAGTGCGGTCTATGATGGTGTGCTGTTCCTCTTCTCTTATGTGTTGTTTCTTCTGTTCGAGTATACTCTTGTTCTGCTCGCAGATGTCACAGTTTGTTGTGATATGTGCTGTTATGCCCTGCTCTGTGGCACCATGGTATGACATGATGTGTCATTCACTATGCTAAGTTCTGTATAGCATATTATGATTTATTTTGCTATGCCATGTGGTATGATGCCTGTCGCGATTTTCCTGGTCAACATTTCAGAAGAGTTCAAGTATTTGCCATGTTGTAATACTGTTCGATGATGTAGTGCCGTACCATGTCCTGCTCTACTCTCAACCGTCCGGCGTGACATCGTCCAAACGGTCGTTATTGATTGCGGTTGTTGGTTATTGTGGCCAGCTTGACCTCGGCGCCCACATCGCGTTTGATTATCTTTCCGTCCAGTATAGTATGTTATGATGTTCCTCTTCATGTGGGTGTTCTATTATGTGAAGGTGTGTTCTGTTATGCTCACCGCTGGCACAGTATGCTTTGATATGTCATTTTACCCTCTGCTCTGTGGCACCACGTTATGAGATGACATGTCATGTCCGGTTATGTTGTGATCAGAGATGTTGGTTGCGCGATGATTAGTTCGTTTGTGTGTCTCATGAGTTGTTGTGTTAGGGCATATCTCTTCAATTAAGTTATTGCGTATGATTGATTTGCAAATGTGTTGCCGTAGTACGACACCAGTCATGCGCTGTTGTTTTCATGGTGCTCTGTTCTTTATACGATGTTATGTGCTGTTTGGCATACCATTCCTTTGCAATATATTGAAGGCTGTGATGCTATGGTACAGTCGTTGCCGTCGTGGTAGTAAAGTATAGACCATGATGCCATGTTATGGTATGATGTGGTATGCTGCACCCAGCTATGCTTCTCGATGTCACGGTATGCGCTGGTATCTTATGTTATGCTCGATGCTGCGTTTGTCATGCCCTATTCCGTCGTGGCATGGAGTTGTCTGCTTTGCTCTGGTATGTTATCTTCGACCATGCCATGATATGTTATGCCGCGCTCTGTCATGGTATGTGTTGTCATGGGTTGGCATGTTCTGTGCTATGATGTTATGTGCTGCCATGCCATGATCGTTGTATGCTCGGTTATTTCATAGTATGCTATGCTATGCTCTGTTACGTTGTGAAACGGTGCGTGGTGTTATGCGCTGTTCTGTATGCTCTGCTTTGTCAATGCATGCTTTGTTCTGCTGGGGTAGGCTTTGAATTGCTACCTCATGGTATGCTGTGCCGCGCTTCGTTATGATACTATATTACCCTACGCTTTGGAGTTCTACTTCATACGATGTAATGCCGCACTCTGGTTGTACGAGTTGCAGGTAATTCGGACGTTCTGATTATGCGATGGTGTATGTTATTATCTTATATTATGGCATGGTATGTACTGTTATACTCTGGTATAGTATGGTATGCTATGCCATGCCACGTTACGATGTGTGGGGTTATGAAATGTTATGTGGAACACTTCTGTGTTTGTCCACGACGAGAAGTCGCCGAGTCAGACCTTGACGACCACCATCAAAGAGAAGGGTGAGATCGACTTGAAGATCACCCTCAAGGAGGAGGGAGAGATCGAGGATAGAGGATGTGTCGGCAGTGTTTGGATGCTGTTGGGCGCTTCGGGATTCCTGGGGGTCCAGGGCGTCCGTCTGACCTCCTTGGGGGCGACCACCCTTCGCATTGCCCTTTCGGGGGGGGGGGGGGCAAGAGGAGCAGGAGCAGGCGTGGCTGGGGGGGGGGGGAGGCCCACGAGACGCTCCAGCAGCAGGTCAGCGTTTGGCCTTGCCAGTGGCGAGAGCCGACGCATGCGGGGCCCCATGCGTCGGCGAGCCCCGCGGAACGGGTGGCACGGCTCGTGGGGCCGACGCGCTCTCTGCGCCGCGGCCACGCGTGCGGCAGCGCGGCGCAGTGCAGGCTCCGCGGGGAGGCGCGCGCGGGCCAGGCCGCCTCCCTCGCGCAGCACCGCGGAGCGGGATCCGCCCAGAGGGCATCGGGCTGCAAGTCTCGCGAGGGGCTTGGCATCGCTCGGACGTGTGCATTTTTCCTTCGGCGAGGACCATCGAGGAGCATCCTTGATCATCTGGCGAAAAAACCACGAACGAAACCGAAAAAAGCACAGGGAATGGACGTCCGAGCGATGGCCAGGAGGGCATCGGGCTGCAACTCTCGCGAGGGGGGCAGTCGCGAGGGGGCACGCTGGGGCCTGCACGCGCACCATCCGCTTGACAGAGCGGTGGCGGAGGTCCGCTGGACAGAGCGGTGGCGGAGGTCACGAGGACATCGCGGCGCGCAGGCCGCGTCGTGATGACTCTCCCGCCAGTGCCATGGTGGCACGTGCAAGTGACGTGCACATCGACCGTGCAGCGCGGCATCGATTTTGGCGCGTGCGGTCAGGGTCGTTGCCGTTGCCTTGCTTCGCGTAATCCGTCGGCCCGCTCGGCGAGATTCTCACCGCGGTCCGTGGTCTGACCGTCTGTGGCCCGAGCACGGGCCCTCGACAGGGCCCGCGGTTTTGGGGCGCCGGCTGTCCTGGGCCTCTGCCAGGACGCTGGAGGTTCACGGTTCGGGGATGGCAGTGCGCCTGTGGTTTTGGCCGCGAAGGCGTGCCGGTGGGCATGCGAAAGGGGAGCGTCGGGAGCCTTGAGACGAGCCTCGTGGGCCGCCTTCTGAAAAGTCGATCACGCCAACATTCCTCAAAATCCCAGGCCCAAGGCAAGTCAAGGATGTTAGTCTTGGGGCGTCTTGAGAGGCCTCTTGGGCCGTATGGGGGCCAGCTGGAGCGCCGGATCTTGCAGGATCCTGCAGAGCCAGGGCTGCACGGATCCGGGCTGGCTCGCAGGATCCTGCGGGATCATGCAGGAGCCTGCAAAGTTCGACTGCCCGATCCGGGCTTAGATTGACATGGGTCAGTAGATCCCCGAGAGTGGGTTGCGTCCGGGGTCAGGCGCCAGGGGAGGCTCTGCGGAGCGCGGGCGCGATGCAGGATGGCAAAGGGGGTTGGCGTTGGAGGAGGCGAGGGATGACAAGGGGGATGGTGGGGAGAAGGAGGAGGGGGAGTGACGACGCCGACGACCACGACGACGCTGCTGCTACTGGTGGTGATGATGATGATGACGACGTCGACGACGATGATAAGAATGATGATGACGACGACGACGACGACGATGATGATGATGATGCCGATGCTGCTGATGCTGCTGATGATGATGACGATGCTGATGCTGCTGCTGATGACGATGACGGTGGTGATGATTCTCATGACGATGATGACGATGTTGTTGATAATGATGATGGTGATGTTGATTGTGATGATGATGCTGTTCATGATGATGGTTATGATGGTGATGGTGATGAAGATGGTGGTGATGATGATACTGATGATGCTGATGATTAGGATAATACTGATGATACGAATGATGATGATACTGATGATGATGGTGATCGTGATGGTGATGGTGGTGATGATGATGATAATGACGAGGATGATGATGCTGACGACGATGCTGATGCTGATTGTGATGATGATGATGATGATGATGATGATGATGATGATGATGTTGTTCATGATGATGGTTATAATGGTGCTGGTGATGGTGATGGTGGAGATATGATGCAACTGATGATTCTGATGATGATGATGATGATGATGGTGATGATGGTGATGATGGTGATGGTGATGGTTGTGATGATGATGATGATGATGATGATGACGAGGATTCTGATGCTGATCATGATGCTGATGCTGATGCTGATGATGATGAGGATGGTGAAGATGATTTGGAGGGATATGAGGATCGGGATGAGGCTGATGCGATGCTGGTGGTAATGCTGATGCTGCTGATGCTGATGCTCTTGCTGTTGCTGCTGCTGCTGATGATGATGATGATGCTGATGATGGCGGTGGTAGTGGTAGTGGTCAGGATGATGATGATGTTAGCGATGCTGATGCTGCTGATGATGATGATGCTGATGTTGGTGATGGTGATGGTGATGATTGTGATTGCGATGATGATGAAGATGGCGGGGTGGTGGTGATGATGTTGATGATGTTGATCAGGATGTTGTGATGATGGTGATGATGATGCTGCTGATGCTGATGCTGCTGCTGCTGATGCTGATGATGATGATGATGATGATACTGATACTGATACTGATGCTGATGACGATTATCATGACGATGCTGATGATATTGATGCTGACGATGATGAGGATGATGATGATGATGACGATGATGATGATCATGATGATCATGATGATGCTTATGATGATGATGATGATGATGATGCTGATGATGGTGCTGATGATGATGGTGGTGGTGGTGGTGGTGGTGGTCATGCTGTTGCTGATGATGATGGTGATGGTGGCCCGCGGTGTCCCGCCGGTGTCCCGCGGTGTCCCGCGGTGTCCCGAGGTGTCCCGCCGGTGTCCCGCGGTGTCCCGCGAGGATGATGATGATGATGATGATGATGATGATGATGATGATGATGATGATGATGATGATGGGATGATGATGATGATGATGATGATGAGATGATGATGGTGATGGTGTCCCGATGAAGATGATGATGTTGATGATGGTGTCGATGATGATGATAGTGTCCCGATGATGAGGATGATGATGCTCGTGATGATTATGTTGATGATGATGACAATGATGCTGTCCCGATGATGATGATGATGATGATGATGATGATGATGATGATGATGATGATGATGATGATGATGACGATGACGACGACGACGACGATGATGATGATGATGATGATGATGATGATGATGCTGATGATGGTGCTGATGATGGTGGTGGTGGTGGTGGTCATGCTGTTGCTGATGATGATGGTGATGGTGGTGGTGGTGGTGGTGGCGGTGGTGGTGAGGGGGAGGAGGAGGAGGAGGAGGAGGAGGAGGAGGATGAGGAGGAGGAGGGAGGAGGGAGGAGACGGAAAAGGAGAAGGGAGGAGGAGGCGGCGGGGGCCGACTTGCCGCGCTCCGCGGGCCGCTGCCGCGGCCTGCCTTGCTGCCGTCGCGCGCGCGCGCCAGGCCCCGCCGGGGGCGCCGCCCACGCAGCCGCAGCGCAGCTGGCACCACCAGCTGCAGCGGACACCACAGCAGGAGGACGGGCGTCCGACGACCGACACCACCTGCAGGCGATCGCGAACATGGATTAGGGGGGCGTGGATTGGCGACAGGTCCCGTTTCCTTTTTGGAAATCCCAGTTTTCCGCCGCCAAGCGAGGCGGCACTGGCCGCATGTTGGGGAGGGCACCTCCCCCGATTCGTGGATTTGGCGACCGCGCGCCAGATCCATGGATCGCTAATCCATGTTTGCGCGCTCCCGACACCTACCCAGGGGTCGTTGAAAGTATGCATTTTTGGAGTCCCAGATTCCAATCTACTTTATTGATCGAGCGGGTTCACCTTTTCCGTCCTCTTTAGGGGGCGGGTGGAAACCCAATCCGCTTTCGACGCCTTCCTACTTCATGCTTCTACCTACTTCTGAAGACCGATGGGTACGCCCCACAGTCAGCGTCCTACCAGAAGGAACGCCCAAACGAGGAGCGAAGGGGCTTTTTCTGGCAAGCGGCGAGCCTCCGCTGCGAGTAGGTTCCCCGACCTGGATCTAAGGAACGGCCCGAAAACCGCAGCCCCTCCTTAGCCCATGGTCCTCATTTCAGTGTCTTGACTGGAAGGGGCTGGTAGAACTTCTTTGCCACGGTCGTTCTCGCCTGGTTTTTCTGGCCCCGGGACCCTCACTGGTCGATCCGGCTCGCAAGATGCCTCAGAAAGATGGGGTGCAGGGCTCCGATTGTGATTTTTCGCGAGGTGTTGTAATTTTCCACAATGTCGGATCTCAGGGCACGCCCTCCTTCGATCAGAGGGGGCGACTCGAGACAGCATTGGTTGGCCTTCGGGCCCCCTCGTTGCCACGGTTGGACTTCTGTCGGGCGTGTCCCTCTACAGGAGGAATATTCCAAAACAGTCAACACATAGTTTGGAGACCTTTTTATACTATGTTTGAAGGAGCATCTCTTAACGATTTATTATCGTTCATCCAAAATCCCTCTGTAGGGGGACATGCCCGTCCAAAGATTGGACGCTGCTCGGAGAGCTGGTGCGTTGGGGCCCCAGGGGCTTCCCAGGAGCCGACTTTGAGCTGCCGTTGCTTCAATTTGCCCTTCTCCGAGTGGTCCCAGCCGTCGGCCTGGGCTCCCCTCGGGGAGGGGCCGGCGATGCAGCTAAGCAGGGACATACGGATGAGCAGCTTCCTGAATGTGCCCATGCATTCGAAGAGCAGTTACAACTACCTACACGTGACCTTTCCGAGCTCCGCGCGGTCGCCTTACACATTTACTCAACTGCCCTGGGTGTTTACTGAACAGCCCTGCCCTAGTCGATTCTGTCCCTGGGTGCGCTTGCTAAACGGTTCCGCTTGTCGGTGTGCTTATATAAGATGGTTGGACTATTAGCTCTCTAGTTAGCCTGCGTGCCAGCTCCGCAGAATCCGAGGAGCCGGAGGGCGGGCAGTCTGGAGAATCCCCTACTCGCGTCTTCCTCTCGCAGAAGAAGCAATGGCGTAAACATGCAGTCGGCCCCGATTAGTAGGTCGACCCTGCCAAATCAAGGGCACCCTTGTGTCCCTGTGCCTCGCGGCCCATGCCTCCGGCATTCCTGTGGCAGTGCGGCCCCCGACGGGGTCCTGCGTCCTGTCGCGTGTCCTGTCCATCAGAGCGTGAATTACCTACCCCGCTTTCGCTTCCAAGCGAAGCCAAGCCATACCGCGCGCCTCCTCGTCAAGCGGCCTGACCAGTGCAGGCCGTAGTGTGGCCTCGCTTGGTACCTCTTGGAAGCGAGGGTGGTCAAAAGCGAGGTACAGTGAAAGCCTTGAGTAAGGAACACTTCCTTTTCAAAAGGGGCTCGGTCGTTCCTTAGGTTTGCATGCGTTCAGCTACCTGTTTGGCGGCGAGCCCCCCCTGGCTTCATGGGCTTACTTGGGAAAAAAGGGGCTTCGTTCCTTCTTTGTGGTTCCTTAGGTCAAGACCCTCACGGTAGGTTTGTTTGCCCCCCCGCCCAGCCAAGTCCGGCGGCGCACCGTGGACGGTCCGCGCGGAGTCCTCGGATCTGCGCGGGGCCCCCCCCCCCCGGCGGCGCCTCCGCCGCCGCTCCCGGCGCGCTCCGCCGCGCGCCACGGGGAGGAGAGCCCGGCGCCGCTCCGAGAAGTCCGCACGGGCCTCCGAGGAGGCATGCCCAGGCCGTCCTTCGTCAGGAGGAGGAGAAACACACAGACACAATGAGTCGTCGATCCCCCAGAAAATATGGGAGAATATGGGGAATCCTCTTATTCGTGTGTATTTGTTTGTGTGTCCCAGGGCCCCTTCTTTTTGTTCGTCTGTGAGTCCAGCAGGGGATGGACCGCGGAGCTGATCTGCCCCAATCTGCTCGTTCGTCGCCATGGACAACAGCCGTAGATGCGGCGAGAGCGCCAAGTTTGCAGTAAATCGATGCTGCAATTAGTCGATAGCTGATTCGACTCGTTCGTGCAGTCGGACCGAGGCAGAAGATTGAGGTCGGTTCGGGGAGGGTGCCCTAGTGTTCTTCGTGCTCGTTGGATGCTCTCGTGCATCCTGGGGAGGGCACCCTCGGATGTTCTGTGTGCCTTGCCCGGCGGAGGTCCTCGTGCTCTCGAGGGACGCTCTTCTGGCCCAGGTCCGACTGCACCCCCCTGCTCCCTCGTGAATTCCGCCGCCGCCGCCATGCTCAAAGGCCCCCTGCCCGACGCCTGCAGCCCCTCCTCCTCCTCCTCCTCCTCCTCCTCCTCCTCCTCCTCCTCCTCCTCCTCCTCCTCCTCCTCCTCCCCCCGCCTGCCACGCTCGGGCCTCCGGCGCCGGGGGGGCTCCGCCCAGCGCGGAGTGAGAGCCTCCGGAGGTCTCGCGCCTCGCCTTGGGGGAAAAAGCAGGCAGCCGGGCCCCCCGGGCTCCTCGCCGTCTTTGGCCGCCCGGGGTTCTCCCCTTGCCCCAGGAGCGTCAGGCACCTGCTCAGGATGTTCGGGGGCGGAAAAGAGGGGGGGATGACTAGGGGGGTTGTGGATATCATGGCGGGGGCCATGATATTTCACCAGTTTGCATGGCGCCTCTTCTTATTTCATTACGTCCCTGGCCCCCCCGCTGGGCCGCGCACATGCCGCCGGTCATGATTTGCACCCCCCCCTCTTGGACACCCCCCTCTTGGCCGCTCCCGAGATGAAGAATCCGTGCTGGGGGAAGGCCTCAGGGTCCAAGACCCGTTTCCCTCGGGACCCGTCTCGCCCATGCTGAGATCCCGTGCCCGTTTCATATTCCAGCGAGCGGGTCCTTAGCAAAGGGGGTCGCAAGCATGTGCGCAACATTTCGTGCAGTCGTTCGTGCTGGATCGTGCTGGATGCGGGCAGAACGCGTTGCATTTTGACATCGCTGGTGCGTGAGAGAGGCCACGCGCCATGAGCCACAGGATGAGTTGTTGTGTTTCTGGCGATCCTATTGCGAAAGCCCCCCTTTGCCTGGAACCAGCCGGTGGGCGCGCTCGGGGGCGGGGCGGGGGGGGGTAATCAACGGGGGGGGGATATTGGAGCTGGCTGGGGATCTGAGAGGGCGCATCACTGGCCAGTGCAGTTGTGGGCTGTGAGTGGTCCGCATTTTCTCCGCAGATTCTATTCGTGGGCTTCGTAGGGTGAGCCAGGGGTATCAACCTCGGGCGGAGCTTTGAGTTGTCGCAGCGCCCCATCACTGGTTCCTTCCACTAGCCGGGGAACGAGCAATGACCTACCAACGGTTTCTGGATGGTCCGCGCGGTTTTTAGGGATCGGCGTTGGGGACCTCCTGACGGCGCCTCCAGCGCCGCCCTTGGCGCGCTCCGCGCGCCAGGGAGGGGTCCAGCGAAGAACTCCGCGCGGACCTCCGAGGAATGCTGCTCTGAGGGGGGAGAGGCACCGTTGAGTGCCGCACTTGCCCCCCCTAATCGCCCTTGCCCGCTGGATCAGGAGGGGAAACAAACAGACACAATTAATCGTCGATCCCTCAGAAAATATTCGAAAATATGGGAAGTGGGGGGGAAGACATACACCCAGAAAATATGGGAAACGATGGGGAATCGTTTTATTTGTGTGTATTTGTTTGTGTGTCCCAGGGCCCCTTCACTGGAGCCTGTGCCCCCGCGGGGCAGAGCCCCCGGCCGCCTTCGCCAGGGAGGGTCGAGGACCGCAGGGCAGTGGCCTCGGCTGCCGCCCCGCAGCGGCGGCGCAGCTGCGCGGGCCCGGGCGGTGCCCGCGGGGCGTGCGCCCGTGGAGCCCCCGCCCACCAGCGAACGCCCCCGCCCTAGGGTTATGTCGGGCGTGTCCCCCTACAGAGGGATTTTCGACGCAAAATGCAAAATACCCCAAAAATGCTCCAACAAGGTAAACACATACTCAAAACATGATCCCCAGACTACTTTTGTATGATTTTTTGATTATTTGTGGGGTATTTTTATTTTTCGTCGAAAATCCCCTTGCTGTAGGGGGACAGGCCCGACTTAACCCTAGGGCCGACCTCCCCGCCCCCTGCCTGGCGAGCGGAGCGCGCCGATCGCGGCGCCAGCGGCGCCGCCTAGGGGTGCTTCGCAGGGGGTCAGCGCGGTCAACGCCGAGCCTAGAGACCCTGCCCGACTCCCAGGAGCTCATGCGTTGTGCTGCTTGGTTTTTTCCTCTCCGCCTCCGCCGCCTCCTCCGCCTCCGCCTCCGCCTCCGCCTCCGCCTCCGCCTCTTCCTGCTCCTCCTCCTCCTCCTCCTCCTCCTCCTCCTCCTCCTCCTTCTCCTCCTCAAACGCATGTCGTTGTTCTTCAGGTATGGCGGGGGCGTAAAATGTACACTGTCAGGGGTCCGCGCGGATCGGCTCTGGACTCTCCCTGGTCGCGCCTCCTGGCGCCGCCCCCAGCAGCGCTGATCCAAGACATCCGCGCGGACCTCCGAAATTGCGTCCGTACCCAGACATCCGTTGCTCCAAAAATTGGAGCGGCTGGATTTTGGTAGTTTGGGGCTTCCGGGGGCCCTCGCCGGGCCTCAGGAGCGTCAAACATTGAGCAGCCAGATGTGTGGGTATGCATATCTGTTT